GTTACCTACAAGGGAGCACCCATATGACTGTCAGCTGATTTCTCAACAGAAACCTTGCAGGCCAGAGGGAATGGCAAGAAATATTCAAAGTGATGAAAAACAAGGAACTACAAGGTTGCTCTACCCAGCAAAGCTATCATTTAGAACTGAAGGTCAGATAAAGAGGTTCACAGATAAGCACAAGGTAAAGGAGTTCACCACCACCAGATCAGCATTACAGGAAGTTGAAGGGTCTTCTCTAAGAAGAAGCTAATGAACAAAAGAAAATTAGGAACTAAATAGATCCAGAGACATTGACACATGTAACAGACGATCATATTTCAGAGGAAAGAGGGAAGGGGGGTGGAGGGTGGGAAGAGATTAACCAAAGAAGTTATATGCATATATGCATAACCCATGGACACAGACAATAATGGGGTGAAGGCCTGGGGAGGGGGTGGGAGCAAGGTGGAGGGGGTCCATTGGGGGGGAAAATGGAACACCTGTAATAGTTTCAACAATGAAGATAAATTTTTTTAAAAAATTGTGGAGATAAATTTTAATTGGAAAAAGGTGATTATCGCCATGGCCAGGTGGTTCAGTTGGTTGGAGTTTCATCCTGTATGCTAAAAGGTGGCAGGTTCAAATCCCCTTTCAGGGCACATACCTAGGTTGCAGGTTCAATCTCCGGTCAGGGTGCATATGGGAGGCAACCAAGATCTCTCTCTCTCCCTTCCTCTCTCTCTAAAATCAATAAAAACGAATCCTCAGATGAGGATAAAAATTAATTAATTAATTAAAAGGTGATTATTTTTCTAAAGCGGGGTCCACTTTCCCTGTATTCTCACATCCACACAGGAGAAATTAAGCAATATATGTTTTTGACCATTTATGGAATGTATGGATAAAATGAAACCCTCTTTCTCAGGCACTCATTCTTTGTCACAGATCTATTTTTCCTGATGAACTTGAAGACAAAAGGAAAGGAAATTGTGAAAACTTTAGTTTATAAGCGTTACTGAGCCCAATGTGCATCTATTCCTTTTCATGCTTTTATGTATGTATTTTTTATGGAAATAAATGACATATAACATTCTGTAAATTTAAGGTGCACGTGTTGATTTTATATTTATATATTATAATGTGGTTGCCATTGAGGCGATAATTAGCACCTCTGTTGCATCACATAAGCATTATTTCTTTTTAGTGGTTGGAATAATTAAGATCTAGTCTCAGCACATTTGATTATTATAACCCAATATTGTATATATTCACTACTGTGCATTTACTAGGACTTATTTATTACTTGGTGCAGTCTTTTCCCCCCTAAACAACATCTCTGCTATCTATTACAGGGATTTAAATTGACTTAATGATTGAATATAAACCCTGAATATGCTTATCACAATCAAGCTTTTTGGTTTTGATTTGATTTTGTGAAAGGGGAAAAAAGTTTTACCTAATATAAATATGCCATTGTATTGACAAGAATTCATAATATGTTACGATGTTTTTTTCTCTATTCAGCCTAAATTTGAAGAGAAGAGATATTTCTTCTTTGGGATTCTGTGTGGACTTACTCTTTTCAACGGCAATGTTGCAAATATCCCTTTCCCACTGGCTCTGTTTAAGAAACTTTTGGACCAAACACCATCATTGGAAGACTTGAAAGAACTCAGCCCTGTTTTGGGAAAGTAAGTAAACATAATTCCTTTTCAAGCCCTACCTAACATATATTTAGATAAATATTTAAACATACTCTACCAGTAATATTTTCACATCCAACAGTACATTCTGGGTACTTTAAACCATTTTAACTTTGGTAAGAATTGTTGGATTAATAATTTAACTTTCTAAAATTAAGAAGTTTATTTTTTTTATATTAGCCTTCAGTGCTTTCATTAATCTTTGAACTTCATTTGCATAAACAGTCATGGACAGAGCATAGGTTACAGTGATGTTTATTTTAAATGTTTCATATTACCGCCTTTAAAATGAAAACTTACATTTAAGTTAAAAGACAACCCACCACCTTGCAAAAAATATTGGCAACATATAATAGAAAGGGTTACTATCCCTGCTGTATAGAGTGTTCCTACACATTCATAAGAAAAATTGACAAAAGTATACAAGAAGACAACCCACAAAAGAAGTAATAGAAATAATACATAAATAAAAAACTTGATCAATCTCAGTAGTGATCATAGAATGCAGATTAAAATGAGAGGCTAATATGCACTTCAAAGTAACAGTGGTTGGAAATAGTGATGCTATAAGGTGTTAGCAAGGGTTTGGTAAAAAAGATTCATTCCAATCTCAGGTATTGTTAGCGGATGTGCAAATTGCTGACTCCTTATTCAGAGAACAGTGTGGCATCGCTTATCAGAATCAAAAATGTGTTTGCTGCTTTGACCCAGCAATTCTGCCTCTGGACATTTCACCCAGAAATACACAACCATGCAAGGATTTCTGTATACCAAAGTACACTGTATTATGTAGTTCATAATATATGGATTACCTAAATGTTCTTCAAGAAGGGAATTCTATATTTTTTGTATATTTATGCAATGGACTGTGGGGATTTCTTTTTTTTTTAATGAGAACAGTAGTATGATTCTATTAATATTATCCCCATTTTACAGATGAAGAAACTAAGGCACAGATAGGTTAGGTAACCTGCCCCCGGTCCCGAAGTGACATAACCATTATTTGAACACAAACAGTCTGGCTCCAGAGTCTAACTATTAATTATACTAATAAGAGGAGGAGAAAAATACTGAAAGTGAAAGATTTAGAAAGGAGGAAAGATAAATTTGTTTTTATTTTTTACTGAAAACATTGAAAATTACCTAAACAATGCTTATTGCCTAAGAAGACTTAAGAAGCTTAATAACTTAATACAGTCATGGGCAATTTACAGTCTAGTAAATGTAGAGATCATTAAATCTGTATTAGTGTTTCTCAAACTTTTAGCTCTTAAGACTCAAAAATTATTGAGGACCCAAAGAGCTTTTATTTATATTGGGGCTACATTGGCCAATATTTGCAATATTAGAAATTAAAAGTGGTAAATGTTTTAAATTCAGGAATACACAAATATTAGGTATAATAGAGCCTCTGGGAAACTGTTCTATACTCATGACAGAGTGTGAAAGAGACAAGTAACATCTTAGTTTTATTGTGAACATAGTTTGGACCTCATGGACCCCCTGTAAAGTCCTTAGGGATTCCCAGAAGTTGTGGGTCAGGCCAACACTTTGAGAAGCAATGATCTCTACATTCAGTAAAACTCCAATTTTAATTCCTTCAGGCTTCCTATAAAACTTGACAAGCTGATTTTAAAATTTATATGGATGAAAAAGGGCCAGGAATAATTCAGAAGGTGAATAAGGATGGGGAACTTGGCCTACCAGATACCAAGAGTAATTAGAAAGCCGCATTAATTAGGACAGTATGGTATTGGTGCAGGTTTTCCACTGGAACAGGAGAACCCAGAAACTGGCCCATGCACACGTGGAACTTTGTCAGAGGGAGCATATTCGATCAGTGGGAATAGGAGTACCATTCAACGAATGCATCTGGGGGGAAATGAGAGCAGATACCTTATGTCATACATATTGACATACATGTTGACGTACATTGTGTCAACTCCTCATGGATGAAGGACTTAAATGTAAAATGATGAAAATATGGACAAAGATCTTTCTCATCTTTGGGATTTCTTCTTATGTCTTAAGTAAGGCATAAAAAGTACCAACAGTGAAGGAAAGATTGGTAAATGTAACTGCAGTAATATTAAAGAAGTTCTCTGTTCATCAAGAGATACATTAATGAAAGAGAAAAGACACTCTTCAAACTGGTAGATATTTGTAACACATACTGGAGGTGGTAGAAAAATGGGATAGAGAAGGTATCTCATAGGTAGGTATAAGGTATTAGCAGTGTTTTAGTTCTTGTTTTGGGAGGCAGGTTCACAGGTATTCTTCATAAACCCCACCCATAAATAAGCCATACACGGACATGTAATGAGAAGGTAATGAGCCAGATATTGTGATGAATCCTGTTTTGTCAGCTAAGTTCCCATTATTCTCCCTCCCCCCTCAAAAAAACACGAAGAAAAGATGGTCTGTTTTATATCACAATACCATAATAAAAAATCCAGTAGGGAAAAATGTCAACTGTTTCCACCATCTCCCAAAGGAGACTTTCTCCAGGGACATGTTTCCCTTTGGAAAGTTAACCAAGCTCTTCCAAGTCACCCTTGTACCGTTTACATAGTTTCTGGCTGCTCGCTTCTCACAGTACTTACCGTAGGTGAGGCTTTCATCAGCATATCTCACCTACTGGTCTCGGTTTATTGGCAAGAAAGGAGTTAGTCTCAACTTCACATCCTCTATGCCTGCCATATTAAGTGCTTAATAAATGTTTGTTAAATGAATAAAGAAGTAAGGAGTAAATAATATATGAGACATTATTTTTAATGTATTTATAAAGTACCATAGGATGACAGAAGATAGAAATGCAAAATAACTGGCTGCTCCCATTCTGATTTAACCTCTGTTCTCAAAGATGCCTGGAAACAATTAAGGTAGTCAAATTTCAGGTCTGTCTGAAGCTTGATGATATTGGGACAGCAGACACAGAGAAGGTCCTGTGACCTTTCTTTCCACTCCACAGATTTCCTAAGTGATACCAGATATTTAAAAGGAGATCTATTATTTGTTCTGTAAGTAGAGTCCCAAAGCTGAAATAAAAGTAACAACAATTAGAATGAGTTTCAGTGTCAGTAAATAATGTTATCAATCCTTTTCTAAACAGAAACCTGCAATCACTAGGTAAAGAAAGTTAGGGTGGTAGAAGGAGAGTGGGAATCAGGCGGGGAGCCTAGAGAATTGCAGATAAACTTCTAACCTCACACTTAGAGATGTTGAGGTTTGGCCCTATTTAGACTGTCAACACTCGGAGAAACAGGTGCTGTGAACGATACCTGACTTCCCACCTTCAGAATAGTCATTTACAAGATGTATCTGGTGATGATTTTTTTTTTTAAATAAAATTATTTTTTCTTTAGGAATTTGCAGATACTTCTGGATGATGAAAGTGCTGACTTTGAAGAAGTATTTTATATCCATTTTAATGTAAGTAACAGTAAAAAACAGATTACAGATCAGATTTAAGCTTATTAACCCTTTTCGTACTTACCTAAACATGTCACTCTTTAAAAAAAAAACAAACTGAATTAAGTTAGTGCAAAAGGGTTTTCCCCTCATTTTTCATGAGCTGGGTGTATCAGTTAGATTTTACTGTGTAACAGACAACACCTAAACTTAGCAGCTGAAAACAACAAACACAATTTTGTGGTTTCTGGACGAGGCCAGCTTGGCTGAGCTGGTTGGTCTACAGCGGCCTTACCTAAATGCCTGGTCGTTGGCAGGCTGGTTGGTGTTTGGGGTGTCAGCTGGGACAGCCTGTCTCTTATCATCCAGCAGGCTAGCTGAGGCTTCTTCATAGGATGGTCTCAGAGTACAGAGAAGGCCAGCCCCAACACACAAGCTTTCCGTGCTTTTGCTTCTGTCAGATACCATTGGCCAGAGTACTTCACAAGGTCACATCCAGACTTAAGGGCTAAAGAAACAGACTCCACCCCCTTGAGAGGAATCACAGTGCAAAGGGGCAGGAATACCAGGAGGCAGGGATTTATGGCCAATTTTGCAAATCCACCACACTAAGTCTACACTATACAAAGTGAATACTGAAACATGGCCATTTTCCAATTAATATTTTCAGTATGATCAGTTAAAATAGATAATTCAAGGGTTTTTTAAGTTTTTTATTATTTTTTAATTTTTTTATTAATCCTCGCCTGAGAATATTTTTTCCATTGATTTTTTTAGAGGGATGGTAAGGGAGAGGGAGAGAGAGAAACATCAGTGTGAGAGAGACACATTGATTGGTTGCCTTCCTCATGCTCCCCGACCAGGGCCAGGGATCGAGCCTGCAACTGAGGTACATGCCCTTGACCAGAATCAAACCCACTACCCTTCAGTCCACAGGCCGACACTAACCACTGAACCACACCGGCTAGGGCTAAATTTATTTCTTATTCTGCATGATAAGGTGGTAATTTTTATTTGTACATTCCTTACAAGTTTTTGTGACACAAATGTACATGTCTACCTATTCTTGAGGAAAAGTGGTATGGTTCAAAGTGTATTTGTTGATGATAGACTGTTCAAGGTATTTTGGAGATGCTGAGTTTATTTGTGATTACAGGTGAACTGGGACAAAACCGATGTAGACTTAATTCCGAATGGAAGTGACATAATTGTCAACCAGACTAACAAGTAGGTACAAAAAAAGTGAAATATTTGTTTTGTTTATACACTATATTTCACTAGGCTCTAAAAATTTCTTGTAGTTACTATAATTTAGTTACTATAATTTTTCATTGCCAATTTTTTGATAAGGTAGATAGTTGCTGTGTGTTGTGTGTATGTCTCCTGGAGTTTCTATTCCAGGGAAGAAAATGACTTTCTCAAAGAGGCCTTCCCTTATCCTCCTATCTAGAATGATGCCACCAACCTTCCTCTCTGTCCCCTTACCATGCTTTACTTTTTCTTTCCATGTCACACTTTACCTGCCTTTAGGATCTATTTGCGTCTTTCCTGATCAGTGTTTCCCCTACTCTGATGAGCTTCATGATGGCAGGGACTCCGTCTTTCTCACTCACTATACATCCAGTACCTCGGCTAGTCTGCATTAGTGTCTGGTCCATAGCAGGCACAGAGTATTTGTTAATATTAGATGTTACTCTGGTATCTTCACTTCCCAGCAACTTATGGAATTTAAAGGAATAGAGTGTGGGATTATAGAATGTCCCCTTGATAGTTGGTCTGAGTGGCTAAGAGTTACCTAGTGAGCATTCTGGCCTAAACCAAATATTTTTCTTTAATTTTTAATCTTTATTTTAAAAAGCATTGTATTGAAGTGTAACGTACAGAGAAGTGCACAAATGATAAGAGCACAGATCAAGAAATAGAACATTTCCAGCTTTATGGTATATTTTATGAATATACCCCCATTTATCCATTTTATTATTGATGGATATAGTAAGGTTCTCTTGTCTCTTAACCACTTTTTGCACAGCCCCTATCCCTGAAAGAATTGGCAAATGTGCCCAAAGGGGAAAGCTGCAGGTAAAATGCTGGGCTCTTCTGAGCTTCCCTTCTCTTAGTCCAGAGTGTCAAGTCTTGTCTCAGATTCGGAAGCCTGGAGCTGCATGTGTTTGTATATTGCCTTTTTCTAGTTCTTCTTATTGGGAGCATTTGCTACAAGGTACTCTGTCATAGCTAGAAGTATAAATCCCTTCTTTATTTGTGTTAACCACAAATAATGTTAATTACTCCCTATGACAAATTCAGACAATACAGAAAAGTTTAAAATAAAACAGGAAATTTCCCCCATCTTGCAAGCCCATTTCTCAGAGATGGCTGTTAGCAGATCAAGGTTTAATTCTTCCAAAGTTTTTCTATTCTAATCTGTGTCAGTTCTCTTAACTTTGTGATCCTGAGCAATCATGTGACTTCACTGTGTCTGTTTCCTCTTCACTAAAATGCCATAAAAATCTGCCTTAGAGAGTATTATGAAGATTAAATTAGATAATATATGAAAAATGCCCGTAGCAGTCCGTGGCGCGTGATGAGCACTCAGTTGTTAAGTGTTCCAGCTCTAATCTTTAGCCCCTTCCTTCTCCCCCCTCCCATTTTATTCAGGGTATTGCAGTAAGCTGAAATCATTTTTTTGTTTCATTAAAGGACAGACTATGTTTCTAAGTATGTCGATTACATCTTCAACATCTCTGTAAAGGCAGTTTATGAAGAATTTCAAAGAGGATTTTATAAAGTGTGTGACAAAGGAATTATTGCAATTTTCTATCCTGAAGAACTAAAGGATGTGATTATTGGAAATACAGATGATGACTGGGAAACATTAGAAAAGGTACATCATAAAGGCCAAGTAGTTTGAATTTAAATTTCTTTTCTTTTCTGTTTCCTGAATACTTTTTTTCCTTTGCATTTTTCATAGACTGCATGTTATGAACAAGGATATGACAGTTCACATCCCACCATAGTGATGTTTTGGAAGGCTTTACACAAATTGACTTTGGAGGAAAAGAAGAAATTCCTTGGTAAGAATTACATCAGGAGTAGGTCTATAATCTTACGTCTTTTTTTATGGAATAAGAGAATCTTGTTTGTCTTAGGCACCATTTGTAACAAGTGATACTTAGTGTAAGAGTCACTCCTGGCCCGGTTGAATGTCCTCTGTGTCAGGTTGTCACATCAAAAAAATAAATGTTAATTAATAGAGGTGTTTTTTCCTGTGATTTCAACACTGCCTATTGCTTTTAAATTTTTCCTTTCTTCATCCGAGCTAAATATTGAGCCTTCTTTCTGTAGTTGTGTCATCATTGAATTATCCAGGTCCCGTAGCTCTTTGCACCCTTTCACTTCCAGACTTTCTCCCAAACTCCTTGCCCCGCCTGGAACCTTCACCTACCTCCTTCGCCTCTCTAAACCTTTCTCTCCTTAATCCAGCTTAATTCCAAACTCTCAGAAGTCTCCCCAGTCACCCAGCCTGATTCTGTCTCCCTGCTCTGAACCCCACAGCATTTACACTCAGCGGCACTTGCTTCTATGGCACCTTGTTTGGTTGCCTTACACCCTTTTATTTATTGTTTTTGTTTTTTTCTGCACAATAATCTAGTACTCCTAACCAGAACCAGACTGTAAGCTGCTTGAGGGCGGTGACTGTGTGTCAGGCTTAGTTCTGTATGGTTCCCACTGCAGTCTAATGTAGGACTCTGCATGTGGACCCTCAATAAATGTTTAGAATAAAAGTATTTCCTCTCGATACGTGTTGGTGATTTGTGAAGTAGATCACTCAATTTTTTTCTGCTTTTTAGTGTTTCTTTCAGGAACCGACAGAATTCAAGTAAAAGGTTTAATGAGCACGAAAATAACATTTCGCTGTCCTGAAAATGTGAATGAGAAAGATCCCATCAGAGCACTTACATGTTTCCGTATCCTCTACCTCCCTAAATATTCTACAATGGAAAGAGTGGAAGAAGCGCTTCAAGTGGCCATCAACAGCAGCAGAGGATTTGGCTGACCCTACCTCATACTCTTCATTCCTTTTTGGAAATAATTTTAAAAATAAAATGAACTAAAAAATTTATTAACATAAAAGTCTTGCTGACTATTCAATGTTTACCTATTTATTTTGGAATCGCTGTTTTTGCATGTAAGATCTATGAGTTATAATATAGATTAGGCTGTTAAAACAAGGCAACCCCAAAACATAGTGTGTTAAATAAGACAGAAGTTTATTTTCTATCATAAACAACTGGACAGTCTGTCCAGGGCTGAAGTGGTGCTTCGCCTACTCAAACTGCTAGAATAAGTCACAGATGATTTCCCTGTTGCAAATTTCAGTGGACACTTGCCCATTTCTGTCTTAAATTATGTCAACCATTAACTTTCTCCTCAAAACTGCCATGAACTCCCTAGACTGTGGCTTTCTTTTTGGGGGCTTCTTTCTCATCCCCTTTGCATCTTTTTCTTACACTCCCCTGACCTAAAATGCTGGTGCAGTCCTGTTTTCTCACTCTCCACATACTTACCAACTTCATGGCTTCAGTTACTACTTCTATGCTGATGCTACTCAGATCTGTCTCCCTGACCTACAGGAACTGTTGATATATTCCAGCACCACAGCCATTCTATGTAGTCTGTGTCACACCTGCAGGCAGGCCCCTTGGCTCCTTAATCTCAACATGTTTAAGGAGAAAATAGTTTTTCCTGTATTCTGTAGTTTGGGGTGGTACCACTAATATCTCCAGGCAGAATCCTGCAATCTTCCCTTCCTCCTCCTTCATCCCCTAACATTCAATAACCAGCCATGTTCTGACAATTTGTTCTAAAGCTCTCTCTAACCCCACTGTCAATGCTGTAGGTCATGTCCTGGCTCTCATCATGTCCTGTCCCATCACTGCAACAATCACCTCTCAACTGGTCTTGCATCTAGACTAGCACTCTCCAATAGAATGTTCTGAGAGACTGGAAATCTCCCATATGTGCACTGTGCAATTGGGAACCATTGCTATAGATAAGGTTTGTTGGCAGTAGTGGGAAAAACATTTTAGAGCTATGCTATTCAGTATATGGCTATTTAATTAAAATTAAGGAAAATTTAAAATTCAGTTCCTCAGTCACACTAGCCACATTTCAAGTGTTCAATAACTACATGAATGGTAGCTACTGTACTGGGAAGCAAATGTGAACACTTGCCACCACAGGAGTCCATAACATACAAACCCCCTGTAATTCTCAATATGGTTTTTCTTTTTTTTCCTGGAAAGAAGAGCCATAGTGTTTATCAGCTGCACAAATTAAGTGATTTGAAAAGTTAAGCAATAAAGACCAGCTCCCAAATCCTTCCTGTAAGCTCCAGCCACGCCTCCCACCATTGCCCTGCATACAATAGCCTACTCCACTCTAGTCATTTGTAACTGTCTGAATGGGCCAGTCTCCTGGGTTTTCACACATGCTTTTTCTTCTGTCTGGAACCCTGTTCTCATCCCACCCTCATCTCTTTCACCTCCTGTCTTCAATTCCACCTCTCCCTCTGTCTCAGTTATCCCTAGTTGTTCTTTGGGATTCACTTCAGCTATCATGGCTATGTAGTAGATGCCATGAGAATGAATTAAGGTATTGTGGACTATGGCTACCTAGTTCAGCATTTCGCAGGTAGAGAGGCCTCAGTGCTTAGCTGTCAGTGGTTCCATCAGTTAGCCCAAAGTGCCACCTAGTGGCACATTCAGAAGATAGCAATTCAATAGCATTTACCATCCTTTTCATCTTACAGGTGCAGTCTGAAGTTCAGAGAGGCTTCTTTACAAGCTCACTTTGCAGGATTGGAAGAAAATGAAGACGGAGAGTAGGTCATGACAAGTCCTTTTTTGCTCCTTCAGAGTGGGAAATTATAACTTAGAAAGCTGGTAGAAAGGATATTATTTATGAGGTGATTAAAGATGATCCCTGTCAGTGATGGCAGATACGAACACTAAGAGAAATAATCTTGAGGTCCCCTGTCATTTTGAAGCTAGCTAATTATTGGGAAGGATGAATGGGGAAGTCACAGTGAAAAAGTAATTCTTACAGTGGGTTTATAGTGTAACAAATGGAGGTGGTGAGGTTAATGTGTGGCACGAGCTATGTAAAGTGGAGTCCCCACTCATGGTTGGAAGCTAGGATGATTTGCTAGTCAATCACTCCAGGAAGAGATGGAAAGATGTGAGTGGTGGTTCCAATGCCACAAACTCTGATGTACTTACTGCGTTTTAGATTTTTTTATGTTTCCTCATTTGTCTCTATACCCTTAGAACAATTTCCAGAGACTACATGGTTTTGTTTGTAATTTTCACCAGTTAGGTTGTTGCGCTGGGGAACTGGTCTGCAGAGTTCCTTGTGCTGCCATTCCAGTAGTCAGTATTGCTTAGCTCTTTACAAAGTGCTTTCACATGTGATTTAATTTGTTCCTCACAATTGTTTAAAAGAAGCTGAAGGATTTCCAGCCTTAAAAATGAAGTTCAGAGATGTTAAGTAACTTGCCTAAAATTATAAGGCTTCTCAGAGACATGTGTTCACCCTTTCAGGAAGTTTCAGGCTTATTGCCTGCTCTGTGCTAAGTATTAGATTAAAAATGTTAAAGAATTTACTGTCTAGGCAGGAGACAGAAAAAGGTAATTACAGTACAAAGTTAAGGGCTACAATAGAGGTAAAACAGGATCATGCTTTAGGAAAACAATAAAAAGGGCATCAGCCTTGAATAAGAATTTGAATCCAAGAATTTTTCCTAATTGTTTTTCTTATAAAGAATGAGTTTGCTCAAAATAAACACTGAGTGATTAAGAAGCTACACTGAAGCCATATTGCCAGATGGTTTCAATTTCAGTCCAATTATTGCTGTTATCCTGGGTAAATCACTTAACCTCTTTGTGCTTCAGTTTCCTCATCTGTAAAGTGGTGCTAGTATTACCTACCCTACCCCTTAGGTTATAAGAGTATGTGTAATATGCTTAAAACTACCTAGTGTACAGTTTGTACTACATAAGTGATTGCTAAATGAATTCTATTAGTGAGAAGATGGAGTTAATACTGAACTCCCCCATGGGTATACTTATCAGTTTCCTCTGAAATGATAAAATGCTGAACTTGCAAAAGCTGAAATGGACTTTAGAATACAGAGCTTGTTTTATCAGCAAAATTGTTTCATTTACACTGATCACAGAGAGATTTACAGTAAATTAAAAAGAATAATTTCAGGAAATAATGGGAACCTCTGTAGTTTTCTAGGTTATTTGTGGATTGTCACAAATTTTTAATATGTGATTTATACTGCAGTGTATACAATGAATTCAATATAAAATACATCTAACCTCATGTTTTAATTTTCTTTTGGTAAGGAAGAATCTACCTAAAGCTTCTATTAAACTACTTTAAGATTCTATTAAAAATCAATTAAGTTTAGTATATTCAATTCTTTAGGGTAACTACTAAAATATTTGCTATACCTCTGAAATAGTTATTATATTCACCTCAATCAATCTTGCTGAATTGAGGTGAATATAACAACTAAATTGGTCTCCTAAAGCAAGAAAATAAACTGAAATGTGGCTCAAAACATAGTTCTCAGCTCAATAGGACACAATCAGCTATTTGCAAGACTTCTAACACCCCACCTCTACCCCCAAAGGTAAATACTTTACTGGGAAACTATCTATCTGGGTATTAACTGCCTCTCTAAATACAGACTACATTTTAAAATTTAGAATATTTTTACATGTTCCCTCCCTTAGAACCACACTCTTATGACCAAAACAAAACCCTACAAATGTTTTATAGGAAAGTGTCATCTTATTTTATTATTACTAATGTAAGCATTTAATGCCAAAGAAATGAAGGTAATTTTACAAACAGAATTTTTTCAAGTTCATGAAATTTCCATTTTATTATAGTTTTATATCACACTAGTTCAAATACATTTCTCTACAACTACTCCAACATAGCTCCTTTGGAATTACTTCAGTTATCTGTACAACATGTGACTTTAACAAAGACTTTGAATCTAAAACAAACAAAATTTCAAATTACTAATTTTTAGATGAAAGGGATAAGAAAGTCATTAGATGATGGCTGGGGTTGTTAATTTCCAATAAGACACTGTTGAAATGCTTCTTCTGATACAGCAGTTACAAATTAGAACCTTCAAAAAAAAAAAACGGGGGGGGGCAAGACCAAAGTACAATAAAAGAACGAAGCTTCTGTAGCATAAGCCTCCTACAGTCCTAAGCCTCTGACAGAGCAAGGTAAAGCATCTTTCCTGAAAATTAAGTGCGTTTCCAGTATTTTTATGCAGTTGAGCTTTCATAGACACTCAAGACTTATCATTAATGTATACACCATCTTGGCTCTGGTTCCATTAATTATGCCTGAAGAGTTTAATACCCATCCAAGTCCAAAGGTGGAAGAACACATACACTGGTATGGTAATGGGCAAGAGCAGACTGTAAAAGCACAGGCTGGCTGTGCTAGTGCAGCCCTGTGGGAAGTTTTCTTCCACAGAGGCTGAGTAGAACAGTCCTGCTAAAGAAATCAATGGAATAAGGACAGTCAATGTAGGAAGAGACAGAAACATTTTCCTCTCCCAGTTATTACCTGCCACCTTGACTTTTTAAAAGGTAGACAGTATTAAGAAAATTTAGTTGTATCTGTTGTTTTTAATTATGATCTAGTGCTGCTCCACATCTTCTTGCTTCTTATTTTGATGTGTCATCCTAGCTGCCTGTGGTATCATATTAGGAATCCCATCAATAATTGGATAGGCTATTCCCAACTCTTCATTAATCAGTTCATTTGTCGATGCTTCATATCTGAGGGAGAAAAAGAAAAAAATGAATTATGGAAAACAAAATGCTTGGAAGAGCTTGATGTTCAATAAATAAAGCCATCCAATTCTTGACATAGTTAATCCCAGAAAAGAATTAAATTCCTTTTAATTCTAAAAGCAGTAATAGCCAAATGAATCATTTCTTTTAGGAAATGAATCTCTACTTGTTCCTATTTTAGTCCGTTTCTCTCATATTTTCTTTTTCACTTTATTTTCAATATATGCCTTAATTTTTTAAAAATACCAGTCAGAAAAGACCTCCCTTTTCCATCCAACTATTCCTTCATCACTCTGGTCACCCCCAAAACCATCCCAGTTAATTTACTACTGGAAGAACATTAGAGAAAAAGTCAACTTCCTCGTTTTAGAATACATGAGAGCACACTAATTGATCCATTAAAAGAAACCACTGAAAAATCAAAATACACAAAAGTTTGAGAAAGATAAAAGGGCAGAAATGAAAAAACTGGAAAATAGTGGATATGCAGTGAGCTAGTTGCACAATTAGATAAAAGGTAGATCAAATGATTTCTAATGTATAAGAAAATGTAATATGTTCATTATGATGAAAATTAAAATTACTAGCAATCTACCACCCAAAGATGGTACCACTTATAACATTCTGGTGTTTAGCATATTCAATCCGCAATCCTCGTGTTGTCAACATTCAGTTTTAGTAACCTGGAACTGTAGAGCTGTTTATCCTAAGGACTCCTACGTTAACGCTTAGGAAGGCCTTTACAGAAACCAGGCAGTCCAGAACTAAGAGCCAAAGGGCAGCACACGAAGCTTAGACGCTTAAGATCGTCAGGCATCAGCTGTACACGGCACTTTCACAGGGACCTGGAGACTACTACAGTCTTCATGATCTTGGCTTAAAAACCTTAATGCCTTGGACTAGTCCTGAATCCCACAACTTCATAAACCTGGCTGCACATCAGAATCACTTAGGGTCCTTTTAAGGAAATACGTAATAGCTCGGGCCCCGTTCCCAGGCCTTCCCACTCGGCGACCTGGGGTGGCGCCCGGGAATCGGCATTTTAAAAAAGAATCGTCTCCCCCCTTCCCCCCGGTAGTTCTAATACACAGCCAATGGCGAACCTACACACGCTTCGATGCGTCCCTGCGGGTTCGCGGTTTGATCGGGAGGCCTGGGGCTCGGCTCCCACGAGGCCTCCTCCCGCCCTTCCCGCCGCAGAGGGAGGTGCGGGGGAGCTGGCGGGGCCCCCCAAAATGGCAGCGGTGAATGCCCGGACGGCCCTAAAAGGCTCCCCAATGGCTGTGAGCGGCCGCGCCGTCCACGGGTNGAAGGGCAACCCGCCGCTGGCCAATCTCACCGAAGCGGCTTCTTGGACAGCGGGCACACCAAGAACTCCAGCAGCGCCGGGTCGAAGGCGCAGGGCGAGTCCCCGGTCCTCTTGCTCTTGTCAGCCGACGACCGCGACCCGGACACGCGCA